TCCCCGCCCAGCTGGTCCCCGCGCAGCAGCAGCCCCAGCTTCAGGGCCACCTTCACCAGGTTCTTGAGCATCTTCTGGGCCTCCTTGCGGCTGCGCGTGAACTCCCTGGTGGCGCGGTACAGCTCGTCCAGCACCTCGCTGCTGGTGTCATCCACCAGCACGGCCACCACTGCCTTAGATGCCATCTTACTCAGGAGCTTCTTCTGCGCTTGCAGAGCCAGACTCTTGGTGCTGAAGGTGTCCATGGCCTGCGGGGGACAGGGACCAGCCATCAGTTTCGCACGCTGGGGCACTCACACAGAAGAGGTGACACCACCACAGACCCCAGAGGGCCTGGCAGAATGTGTTTCTTTAAAAAGTGTCATGCTGGACGCAGTGGCTCACGCCTGTAATCGCAAAAATTTGGGAGGCCGAGGCCAGCGGATCGCCTGAGGTCAGGAGTTCGAGACCAGCCTGGCCAACATGGTGAAACCCTGTCTCTACTAAAAATACAAAAATTAGCCAGGTTTGGTGGTGGGCGCCCATAATCCCAGCTACTTGGGAGGCTGAGGCAGGAGAATCCCTTGAACCTGGGAGGCGGAGGTTGCAGTGAGCTGAGTCCATGCCACTGCACTCCAGCCTGTAATTCAAGCCTGTGGTTCATGCCTGTGGTCCCAGTGCTTTGGGAGGTTGAGGCAGGTGAATTGAGGCCAGGAGTTTGAGACCAGCCTGGGCAACATAGCAAGACCCTATCTCTACAAAACAAAATCAAAAATTTTATTTTTTATTTATTATTATTTGATTATTATTATAAACAGAGAAGGCCCTTCTGAAACCCACTATCTGTAGGGCCTGACACCAGTCCTCAAACCCACCATATCCTTGCTATGAGCTGAGAAGGGGCTCAAGGTGATCATTACAGGGGGTTCCGTTCCATACCCCTAGGTCCAGCTCAACACTCCCCACCCTCACCCCACAGCTCTGTGAGATGGGGTTCCAAGTAAGCCCCAGACTCCAGGCTGCTCAGGGTGGAGGAGCCCCGTTACTATGGCAGTGCCTTCAGCCCCACTGCCCCCACGGGGTTGGTTGGTTTGTTTGTTTGTTTGTTTATTTATTTATTTATTTATTTTTGAGACGGAGTCTCGCTCTGTCGCCCAGGCTGGAGTGCGGTGGTGGTGCGATCTCGGCTCACTGCAAGCTCCGCCTCCCAGGCTCACGCCATTCTCCTGCCTCAGCCTCCTTAGTAGCTGGGACAACAGGCGCCCGCCATCACACCCAGCTAATTTTTTGTATTTTTAGTAAAGATGAGGTTTCCCCATGTTAGCCAGGATGGTCTCAATCTCCTGACCTCGTGATCCGCCCGCCTCGGCCTCCCAAAGTGCTGAGATTACAGGTGGGAGCCACCGTGCCCAGCCTCCACAGGGTTTATCACAGGCATGCCTAAGGCCTTCGACTCCAAGTGAGCCAGGGGGTGATGTGTTGACAGGCAGACATTTGTGGGGTTTCTGGGAAGGCATGGCTCCGATGATTCCTCCAACAGGGAAACACTGACTTGGACAGCCCCTGTCCAGGCTGGGGCAGGGGAGGTGGCCAAGGTGAGAGGCTGGCCAGCTCTCGAGGCACAAGAGCCAGGCCTCTGACTGCAGAGCCACCCCCCTGTCCCTGTCTGCTCCTTTTCTCTGTCCACTCTGCCCTGTAGCCTGCCCAATTTCCCCGGCCCTGGAGCTTCCCCCTCCACCCACCTCCTTCCTGCAGCTCCGGAATTCTTCCTAAATCTCAGAGTGGGGCATAGCCCTTACCTGCTGAGAACCAGCTGACAGCTCCCCGAAGCTCCCAGGACCAAGCCCCATACCTCACTTGGAGCCCTGACTCTTCCCTGTGTACCCCAATACCCTAAGACCCTGTCTCCTCCCTGGTGAACTCCTATACATCCCCCAAAGCCCTGGCCCCTAAGCCCCTGCCTCTTCCCAGGTGAACTCCTTCCTATACATCCCCAAAGCCCTGGTCCCGAAGCACCTGCCTCTTCCCTGGTAAACTCCTATACATCCCCATCACTTTGGCCCCCAAGTCTCTGCCTCCTCTGAGATGCAGGTGTCCCAGGCATCCCCACTGCTCTTCTGCTCCCCGGCTCTGCACCCCCATTGGTCTGCCTCACCCCAGGCTGCAGGGGAGGTCAGGGGCCCGATTCCTTATCCACAGCGTCCCTGAAGACTCCAGAAATATCTGCTGAATGAAGAGGGGAGTGTGAAAGAACTGGGGGAGGGGGGAGGGGCTGAGACCCGCCCCCGGTCTCCCTCACTGCCCAGGCCCTGCTCAGCCTCCACTCCCACCCCAGTGCCAGGCTGCCAGTCTCGGAATGCCATGTGGGTACCCACCTACCCCAGGAGCCCCCACAAAGCTGGTCTTTGTGTGAGTTCAGACTCCGGGAGAAGTTCCAAACCCTCGGCCGCCCTCTGAGGTCAGGGCAGGCACGGGAATTACTGGATGGGCCGCCCCTGCCCTCCGACCTCCGTCACCAGACCCTGGCTCTGCGCAGGCCTGGGCCAGAAAAGGGGTGCTGTTGACTCAGCACCACGTGGCAGGCCCTGAGTCAATGACATATGCCCACTTCATCACCCCCACCGTGTACTAGGCAGGTTGCTTGTTTTGTAGAAGAGACCACAAAGGCTCAGAGAGGCTGAGCCACTTCCCCAAGGCCGCACAGCAATACAGTGACCACTGGCTCCCAACGCCCTTGAACCCCAACTCCCTCTGCCTTCCCCATCTAACACCCTCAACTGGCCCTGAGTCTTAGAGGGCAACCCTGATATTTAGGGCCTGCTCCCAGCTCTGGCCTCTGCAGCAAGCAACTTAACGGGTCTCAGTTTCCCCATCTGAAATATGGGGAAGATCAGAACTAACTCTGTCCTGGGGCAGAAGCTTGTGACCAAACCCCCA